CATTGCCAAAAAATATGTATGGCCACTAGATGGAAGCAAAGAAACACTGAACATTATGAAAGCCAGTTTGGTACAGTGGTTAAGGTACTAGAGTAGAAATTGGGGCACCCTGATTCTAATCCTCTGGTAGGTATAAAAGTTGGCAGGTTGACTTTGGGTCAGTCATATTCTTTCAATGTAACCTCTCTCACAAGTTGCTGCTGTGGGAAAAACAGGAGATGTGAGCATTTTGTAATTCAGTTATGTACATAATAAACATTATATATTAGGTAAAGGTAAAGGGTCCCCTCGCACATACGTGCTAGTCATTTCCGGCTCTAGAGGATGGTGCTCATCTCCGTTACAAAGCTGAAGAGCCAGCACTGTCCGAAGAAGTCTCCGTGGTCATGTGGCCGGCATGACTAAATGCCAAAAGTGCACAGAACACTGTTACCTTCCCACCAAAGTGGTCCCTATTTTTCTACTTGCATTTTTACATGCTTTCGAACTGCTAGGTTGGCAGAAGCTGGGACAAGTAACGGGAGTTCACTCTGTTATGCGGTGCTAGGGATTCAAACTGCCAAACTGCTGACCTTTCTGATAGACAAGCTCAGCGTCTTAGCCACTGAGTCACTGCATCCCTTCCTATTATATATTATATAACATTAATAATAAGGATAATTCAGCATTATGAACAGCTTGCCTCCCAGAATTATGGAAGCTCCATTGGTGGAGGTTTTCAAACATTCATTTGCCTGGGGTGATATAAGTTCTCTTGCTTCCTTCCCTTGGAGGACTAGAAGATCTCTAAGGTGCCTTCCAACCCTATAATTCTATGTTTCTATGTATCCCACTTTGAATGTACAAATAAAGACAGGATGTAAATCTAATAATAAATAAATTATTATAAATTTATTGCTGCCAATTAGTGGTTATTCAGATTTCTCCAGCCCAGATACGCTCACTGTGCTCCTTTGTAACTTTCTTTTGATTTCTTGAACTTTCAAAACTATGTTGCTCTCCTTGACCTGCAGGCATATTTGGGGGTCTCGTTTTGCTAAATTCTTGAACTGCAACTGACGTGTGCATATTACTTATTATCTTGTAAACAATTGGCAAATCAAATAAATAAATAAATAAATAAATAAATAAACTGGTCTCTTCTCTCTCCATTAATTTTCATTTTATTTATTTATTAAACTTACATGCTGCCCATCTCACCTAGAGGCAACTCTGTGTGATTCACAACCAATTAAAAGGAACAAGATAAAACATGAAAGTATTAAAATAATAAATATTCACATTAAAATGGACTTAAAATGAACAAAGACAGCAAGATGGAGAGCAAAATACACAAGGTGTGGAGGTAGAGTCTTATCTCAGCCTATTAATTGTCTCTAACGTTGAAATACCTTCAACAGGGCTCCAGACCTATTGGCAGAGCCAGGTTTTCATGCCCTTTAGCAAGGCCAAAGCATGCAGATATCACCTCAAGGGGTAGAATGTTCCAGAAGGCCGCACCAGGAAAGGCTCTTCTAGATGATAGAACCATTACTAGTGGTTACTGTGTCACAAAATATTCCCAAATACTCATGAATATATAGCAATACCAATCATCAGTTTAACCTCTGAATAAAGCTGAATATTTAAAAAAAAGAACTGGGATGCATATCAGTTACATAAATGGTCTAGAGGTGGTATTCAGCAGGTTCTGACCTGTTCTGGAGAACCTGTGGTGGAAATTTTGAGTAGTTCGGAGAACTGGCAAATACCATCTCTGACTGGCCCTGCTCCCATCTATTCTTTGCCTCCCGAGTCCCAGCTGATTGTCTGGGTCTTCTTTTGTTGCCCTGCACAGGAGAACGGAGCTGGAAAGCAGGTTAGTGGGGTGGGGAGGGAATGGGAATTTTACAGTATCCTTCCCCTGTCACGCCCACCAAGCCACACCCACAGAACCAGTAGTAAAAAAAATTGAATCCAACCAATGAAATGGTCTCTTAACAACACAGAGTCTTATATTTGAATGAGCATTGAACACATTTTGCATATTGGACAAAATAGATTGTCATGTTATAAGTGCCTTAACTGTTAAGCAAGTATCTTATTAATTTTCTGCACATTTAAAATAAAAAACTAAAAGCAATTTGCAGACTTGCTGTTCGTCTTCTTTAATTTTTTTCCAAATTTGTTTTGCTTAGATGTACTAAAAAATTGCCTAACCAAGCAACTACTTTGAATGAAATATAACACGATAACATTTGAAAACATTTTCCCAATGAATTAGTGTAGTGACATATTTGTAAGAGATTTGTTGTTAATTTCATTTCCTTTTGCTCAGTCAGCCTGACAAAAAAAACCCAGCAAACCATTCATCTTAGTTTAAAAGAAGAACTTTTTTTATCTGGAGCAGCAATGAATGACCTTGATAGATTTGTCAAGAAAATGAATTATAATCATTTGCTGATCAACATAGCCCTGGCAGCAATGATTAATAAAGAAATATAGATTGAGTTCATTTAAAATGTCTGCTGCCTACAGATTTGGTTATCAGTTATAACTCAAAGCACTATAGTTATTTGCAACATACATGTCTCCTATTATACTGGTGATAACTTATTTTATAAGATGTATAGAAAAACATAAAAATATATTCAGGTTGCCATGATCCACAAATGCCTGTGTGATGACCTGGGGCATCGCACAGTCAGATAATCAGTAGTAGTCCCTTTATTAGCTCCAACTTTGCCCCCAATGTCCTGGTTACCTTCTGGCTGGAGAAAAAGTCTCTCAGGAACAGCCTTTAGCGGCAGAGAATCAAGTCAAAATGTGGTCAACCAAAACTGTAACTATAAGTCCAATCAAGGCAAACTGAGGTAATTATTCCAAAGGGGCAGGAGTAAGAATTCCAGATGTGAAGGCACGGCAATAACTCAACACATTTGGGAAGACACCAGGAACACAGATAAGCAAAGTCTACACAAGATAAACTCACGATTGCTGCCAGCAGCTGCCGCACTCAGCATGCATTTCTTTTAAACTCTCTTCCCAGCTGTGGCTAATGAAGGGAATCAGGGCCCTTTCCTCTCCTGTAAGCCATACAGCTCACGTTGCTCTCTTCTCCGTTCCTCCCTGGGTGCCCTAGGATGAAGAGGGGGTGGGCCTGGGTCTTCCTCTGAACTCCCTCTCTGTTGTTCTACCTCTCCCCTGCTCTGCCCAGTTGGACTTTGCCCTTCCCCAATTTCCTCCACAGCCAACAGAGCCACACTCTCCCTCTCTGTCAGCTGTTCGTCTTCCTCCTCGGATTCAGACTCCGACAGGGGGATGACAGCCTGCATGAAGCTGGAATTTGAAAGTAATGTATGCTTTTAAATTGATAAATACTGAAGCATTGTTTGTTATGGTGATACAAGCAGAGCCAGAGTTGAGTGCTCTCTAAAATAGTGGCCCCCAACCTTTTGGACACCAGGGACCAGTTCCATGGAGAGTGGTTTTTCCACAGACTGGTGGAGGCATGGTTTTGTGTGTTGCCTACATCCTGCGGATGGGGTTTCGCTTGTTTGTGCGGCCCAGTTGCTGGCATACCACATCCCAGTGCCAGTCTATGGACTATGGGCTGGGGAACCCTGCTCTAAAAGAATGATTCTGTTATTATGGCTCAACAAGATAAATATATTCTGTTAAAGAGCAACAGACTTGTCACCACATTCAGATCCAGAATGTATGCTGGCCAACAAAGACAATAGGCAGTTACTCCCAAACTAATATACTCACATACAAGTAGCCCTCAATTTACAACAGTTTGTTTAATGACCATTTGAAGCTACAACATCACTGAAAAATAACCAAACCATGACCATCCTTCACACTCACAACCTTGCAGAATCTCCATGATCAAAACTAGGATGCTTGGCAACTGATTCATATTTATGACAGTTGCAGTGTCCTGGGATCATGTGATCCCCTTTTTCAAGCTTCTGACAAGCAAAGTCAATGGGGAAACCAGATTCATTCAACAGCTAACATTAACAACTGCAGTTAACAACTATGGTAGGAAAGATAATAAAATGGGGCAAAATTCACTTAACAACTGTCTTGCTTAGCAATGGAAATTTTGAACTCAATAGTGTTAGCAAATCAAGGACTACCTACCAGTATATTAATTTTTCACTCCTTTAAAAATTATTTTTCCACTTCTTTTTTCTTCTAATTTTTCTTCTTTTTTTCCTTTTTTTGCACTTTCTGCACTTTTTCTTTTTTCATCTAGCTTGGTTTATACTAGTTCGTACTAGGTTTATTAATAAGGTCAATAAAATGATTGACAGAATGTATGCCAGGCAAGACTTGAATCAGAAAAATAATCCATATCTGTGTCAAGGTTCTAAGTAATACACTCATAGCAAACAGAACTCCGAGCCAAGTGGATTCCTCAAAGAACAGATTTATTGGACCTATCATATTGGCACAGACTGGTGAAAACTGCCTGCAGTTTCATCTAATTAAAAATAAAATCCCCCCCCCCATTTTGCAAATAACCTGGCACATGATCCAATCAAGGTGCTGTCCGGTTGCTTGGAAACTTCACTCCTCCTCTTTTCAGCCACCTGTGGGAATGTCCTTGGTTCTCAGGGGAAACTATTTTGTTTTGCCTACAATACCCCAACTATCTCTATTCCCCTATCCCTATCCCTCAGCACCATTGTGTCAACACTGAAGCCTCCAAGATGGCCTCAGTCAGGCCAGCTTCAGAGTTGATAACCTGACTGGATACAGAAAGATTGTTGCATTGAAATGACCATGTAAACAACATTTTATCATCAATTCTGGGAGTGCACTGATCCCAAGAAGAGTGGTTCAGGTCTTAGCTTGGTGATATGGGACACTAAACCAAGAACTCCCCTCAGGTCAGAAATAAGGACCCAAAGCTATGCAGGAAAGAAGTTAACGTTCTGCAACTTCTTTGATTTGAATCACTACTTCAGCACGAACAACAGGTTTAAATAATAGCAATGTTATTGCAGGAAATGCTATAATGGACAAAAGCAATTTCATCATATTTGCTGGAGTGAATTCTAGACTGGAAAATATTATGTCACCATGTGTTCTTTCAACTGTGTTATTGTAATTCTTTTTGAGAATTTTTCATGTAAGGTTTTGTGTCTCCAAGGCAATTCATGTAAATATTGCCTTTATACGACTCTTTCTTAAAGAAGAAATTCATGCCAAAAAGGTTTAGAACAAAGTATTATACAATGACAAGAAATCTCTATAAGAACACCTTTGGTATTTATTTGAAGTTTATCTTGTTTTACAAAAACCCTCTGAGGTAAGTCAAGTCTGTTTCTTACTTTACTGACAGAAATGTGGAGTTTGAAAACTAAAAGCTAAAACTATAAGCTGACATGAAAAGGAGAGATTGGTTTTTCTACAAGTCTGAATAGTTTGTTTTCAATCTTTTCAAATTAGGCCAAAGACCAGATAAAAGTATGCCAGGCCTTGGGTTGCAAATCATTACTAGTGGTCCATTTACTGGCCTAAACAACCATTTATAACATGTTTCTTCAAGGTATGTTCATTTTTATCATTTAGCGCCTGTGTTGTTCTTTTAAACGAATCCTAGCCTTTTGAGTTTCTTTAGTAGCTTACTCAGATCATCCAAAATAACCCCATAAAAAGATATTGATAACTAAAAGAATAATGGCATTGCTGTTACAAACAGTTTTCCACATTGGTTCTTCCTTGATGTTGGTGAGTTTCTTCTGAGCGGCTGCTTCCTCTTCTCTGGTTAAAATGACTTTGGGATTGACAGAAATTCCACAGAACCAGAAATAAAGTTTTTTCCAGAAAGGATATTTCACCTCTGTAAGAGAGAAAAGAATAAATTATTATGCACTGGATTTCCGCCCCCGCCCCCCCCCCCCATATGGTGCTTATAGACACCCTGGAACAGGCAAGTAACATATATTTGAGAAACAGCATAGAATAGTGAAAGATGGATATGAACAGATGAAGTTATACATAGTCCACAACTTATAAGTGAGTCCAACATTTCTGCTGCTAGGCAATGCAATTGTTATGTGAATCAGGCCCATTTACTATCTTTTTTGCCATAGTTGTTACAAGCAAATTAGTGCAATTGCTGGGTGAATGATGTGGTTGCTGTACAAATCTGGCTTAACGTTAACTTTGCTTGTCAGAAGCTGGCTGGAGAGATCACTAATGGTTAGCATATGACCCTGGGACAGTCCCAAAAGTTGACTACCTTTCAAGAACAGTGTTGTGCCTACTTCTTAAAAAAGCTATCCACTGCCATAGCCGAACCTCTAAGCATAATCTTTGAAAAAACTTTCAGGACCAGCTCCTTGCCAAAACTATGGTCACAAGCCACAGTCATCCCCATCTTCAAAAAGGGAGATCCCAGCCTAGTTGAAAATTACAGACCAATCTCTTTATGCTGCATCACCTGTAAAGTCATGGAATCAATTATTAACCAATCCATCATCCTCCACTTAGAGACAAACAACCTACCCTCTAATAAACAATTTGGTTTCAGGAAAAAACTATCATGTAATCTGCAACTATTACACTGCAAAAACATATGGACTACACAACTTGATCAGGGCAAATCAATAGATGCAATCTACATAGACTTCTGTAAAGCCTTTGATTCAGTGGTACACGACAAACTACTCCTGAAACTAAAACCTTACAGTATCTCTGGAAAACTGCATAACTGGATAGAAGCATTCCTGTCAAACAGACAACAAATGGTCAAAATTGGGAGCGTCCTATCAAATTCTGTACCTGTCAACAGTGGTGTCCCCCAGGGCAGTCTTCTAGGACCAACTCTTTTCATACTTTACATAAATGACCTCTGTGATCATATCAAGAGCAACTGCATTCTCTTCGCTGATGATGTAAAGCTATTCAACACCACAGACAATACTGCTACCCTTCAAAAAGACTTCGACTATGTATCAGAATGGTCAAACAAATGGCAACTTCAAATCTCAACCAATAAATGCTCTGTCCTACATATGGGCAAAAAAAATTAGAAAATAAAATACAGGATGAATAGTCAAGACTTTGTTGATGATCCAAACTCTGTCAAGGATGGAGTACTCATCTCAAATGACCTAAGTGCTAGAGCCCACTGTAACTACATAGCCAAAAAGGCATTAAGAGTTGTTAACCTAATCTTGCGTAGCTTTTTCTCTGATAATATTACACTACTAACTAGAGCATACAAAACATTTGCTAGACCAATACTCAAATACAGCTCATCAGTCTGGAACCCACATTACGTATCTGATATTAACACAGTTGAGAAAGTCCAGAAATATTTCACAAGAAGAGTTCTCCACTCCTCTACTCGTTGCAGAATACCTTATGCCACCAGACTTGAAATTCTAGACCTAGAAAACCTAGAACTACGCCGCCTTCAGTCTGATCTAAGTATAGTATATAAAATTATACATTTGCAATGTCCTACCTGTCAATGAATACTTCAGCTTCAACCATAACAACACAAGAGCAAACAACAGATACAAACTCAAGGTTAATCGCAACAAACTTGATTGCAGGAAATACGACTTCAGCAACAGAGTGGTCAATGTCTGGAATACTCTACCTGACTCTGTGGTTTCTTCCCCAAACCCCAAAAACTTTAACCCTAGACTGTCTACTATTGACCTCACCCCTTTCCTAAGAGGTCTGTAGGGGGTGTGCATAAGCGCACCAATGTGCCTACCGTCCCTGTCCTTTTGTTTCTTTCTTTTCTTTTCTTATATGTATGCATGTATTCATAACTATGTTTTTACTTATACCTATTATCTTGTAAGCAATTGACAAAAATAAATAAATAAATAAAATACTCTTATCAGCTACAAAGCAGAAGGAAGAAGGAGGGGGAGAAATGCAGCTCATAGAAAAAGGCTCCCTCTAGTTTCTGTCCTGTTCGTCACTGGATTGAACTTTCCATGAAGAACTTGTTGTCTTGACTGATCTTTCTTGGAGGAAAACCCCCACAAACTTCAGTCTAATCATCCATAGCATATATAAGAAGAACTCTAGTTCTGAACTACTTAGTCAAGAAGTGCAGCTAAATCCCGGATTGTTCATTCAGTCTGCTTTCAGCAAATTATCTCCAGCAAATTAATTCTGTTTACATTCTGATTAGTCTCAGCTGCAACTGCTTACAGAGCATTAACTTTGTGTTAACCAGTTATGAGGGTCTCTAATTTTCCATGCATGCTGGCTTTGCACAGTCACCAGGGAATAGGACTGTTGTGTTTTCTCCCGCTCTTTGTCTCTTTTGTCTCTCTTGACTCCTGTCCTTTTAACAGTGTCTGCCTGCCAAGGAAAGCCTCATCTGCTGAAGACCTGCATCTCTCTTGGGGTGGGCAGATGAGAAACAAAGAAGCTCCAATATTTTTCCAGAATCATTTAGAAGAAGCAAGTTCTTCTTATAGTGTTCATATCAAAAATCCCCTTTCTAGACAGCTGCTAAATACAGAAGTGCCTTGATCCCTCTAGCATCTAACTATCTGATTTATCCCATATATTTCCTACAGGAAGGAAGGAAGGAAGGAAGGAAGGAAGGAAGGAAGGAAGGAAGGAAGGAAGGAAGGAA